CGACTTTTTAGACTGCGATTTGACGATACAACTTTACATACACATTCCTTCTTTCACTTCTGAACTCTAACTGTACTATGTACCTTGGTGACCCCCGAACTTACCACAAATACTACTGCTTTTTTCCTTTACATTTTTCCGAAACCTTTTCGTTCCGTCTTATAAACTTGACGTTTGAAGACTTGATTGAACTACTCGCTTCTAGACAGCGGTTACCGTTGCCGTAAACTACTGTGCGGGTATTATGCGGAATATACGCCAACTACCGACGGTGAGCCCAATGGTTGGACCACTTCATAAACCCGCAAACCTCGTCAAAAGTACTTCATACTCTTTTTGCACAAAGTACGCCTCGTAACACAACGGTACCGTTGCCGTAAACTTCTTTAGAGTTTTGACAGGGCATTCTACAGAAGTGCCGACCGACAATAATGTGTACAACTTCAAACTCGTGACAAAACTTTAAAAAATTCGCTCATATCGCTGTAGTACAAAATACCACTTCCCTACGCAAAGGGTACCTTTGCCGTTATACAACCTAGGAGTCTAAATCTCATCTCGACAACTTCCGTACCTGGCCACTATATGTTACTTCTTAACACCCCCTGTTAACCTGGCACAGGTAACCGAATATCGCTGTAGTACAAATACCGCTCTCCCCTACGCAAAGGTACCTTTGCCGTGTATACCATACTAGAGTCTAAACCGCATCTCGACACTCCGTACCTTGGCCAACCTATATGTCAAACTTCTAACCCCCTGCTAACCTGGCCCTACAGGTACCTAAAATATCGCTGTAGGACAAAATAACCGCTCCTACGCAAGGTACCTTGCCGTATACGCAGCTCTAGAGTCTAGAACCGGCTCTCGACAACTCCCGTGACCCTGGCCACTATATGTTCACTTACTCCGAACCCTTTGCTAAACTGGCACAGGTAACCTGAATATCGCTGTAGTACAAAAAATACCGCTGCCTACGCAAAAGGTACCTTTTTGCCGTACTACCACCTAGAGTACCTAAACCGCCATCTTCGACCAACTCCGTACCTGGCCCCTATAATTCCTTTTAACCCCCTGCTAACCTGGCTCGCACAGCTACCCTAATATCGGTGTAGCCTACATAAGTACCGCTCACCAGGAAGCGGTACCGTTGCCGGTAAACTACCTGTGGGGTTATGAAGCGAATCTACGCCAACTACGAACGTAGCAATGGTTTGGAGCACTTCAAGACCCGACAAACCTCATAAAAGTGACTTCAATACTTTTGGCACAAAGTTCCGCTCGTAAAACAACGGTACCGTGCCGTAAGCTTCTTTAGAGCTTGATAGGGCATCCTCACAGAAGTGCCGACCTGACAAACGTGTGAACTGATAGACTTCAGACGACGAGACTCGTACAGTCAACCTCACTACTTGTAGTAGCACAAGTGAACGTGTCCACAAATATCAACTCGATTTGCTCTCCACGGATCTGAAGTTTCCGGAAGTGACAAGACTTACTTTCTCTACTTGGAGGAATGTACACTTGCAAAACACCTTCTTGACACTTTGAAAAGTTTTGCACTTCGTACAGTTCCCTTCAACTCATAGACTTTAAAGTAAAGACACATGAAAGCCAATTATTTCACCGGAAAAACCGACCAAATTGATTTGCCACACAGACGACGACACCGCTGCCCTTTATATACCGGACTTTAATGGTACCCGACAATTTACCTCCTCCACAACTTGTTTCTGGCACAAAAACAGGGAAGTACGGGAGTTCTCGTGAAACCCAAATTATAAAAAACGAATTAAATAAACAGTAAAAAGTTCGATGCTCTACAAAAGGAAGCAAACAGTACTTTTTTTAATACAGAGTTCTTACATCCCAAACCCTTAATACGTGCCAATCTTTTCTTTATACTTAGCGCTTAAAGTTCGGAAAGGGGGAGGATCCGAACGGTGTGTGACGAATCAAATTACAATTTTACAGACTTCTTGTTGGAGATTTGTTCCAGACTGTTACATAATTTATACGAGATTTTCAATCCTGAGTCTACATTTCTCAAGCAAAATGTGCTTATTCAGAGTCTTTCGTGCACACATTCTAAAATTTCAGCCTTACTCCACAGACTAACTTTCATACTTACATTGTCCCATCCGAACTTAACGTACTTCTAAAAAACTTGAGACTTCTAAAAGAGGTAAACGAAGTTACAATTTGTAAAATACATAATACCTACATAGAGACGCTTAATCCACCAATTCACATACTAGAGCTATAACTCAACGGCATGCGGTTACCGCATGTCGGTAAACGAGGCAAAGTACAAAATTTGTACAAAAAAGTGTTTTGTAAAAAGTGTGCCGATCCCTCGTATCCTTATGAAGTTAAGCCAATGCAGTTAGTAGACAATCTACACTAAACGGGGCTCGTGGGGACCATTTAATGGCAATGTCGGTTAGTTCGCATGTTACGTACGCAGTAAGCATTCTCTGCGGGGGCTTGGTGTATACTCAATGGGGACTTGTGTATCATGCTGGGTGGCCATAAGTTGTAATAAAATGGTCAGTATCAGCACATTATAATGTGAGTATTTTCTAGGATGTGGTTGTTCTGTAACCGCAGTTTTTCTCATTACACACCTTATAAAGCGGTCCAAATAACTCACGCAAGCTCCAGTTTGATACAGGTTTTAAATTTGAATATGTGATGTACGAATATGGAACGATGTGGGGCGTGGAGGCAGGGTCGACTCCCAGAGAGATGTCGACCCGAACTAACACTTAAGCGGAGGCGTGTACTTTCGACCATCCCGGATATCGACCAAGTTTGAAAACTAGTGGTCAGTTATGTTAAACTGTTTAAAGCTGACCCAAAAAAAGATGTGAATACCTTGTACTCTACATAGTAGTTTTTAATAAACTTTTTTTATACCCTATTTTTTTTTTTCTAAACCTTAAATGGGTTAAAAAAAATATCCTATACATGTAAAGCCAATTGCAATTGCAAAATAAAAACTCTTCCTCCTATATAAGCCGCCTTAAGGGCTGGTTCGACTTGCAAAAAATGCGCTAACAGAGCTAATTGGCGTCAGGGTAATCAAAGTTTAAAAGGATCGGAGTTTTCTCGCTGCCTATAATAGGTCAGTAGGTTACCTCTCTGACTAGAACAGTCTTACGCGAACCCCAATCAATATTTGCAGAAAACCAGGACAATAAAATTACCATTCTACATTCTGTCATCTGTAGAGCAAAATACGCCTGAGTATAGTACTCTATAACAACCAACACCGAGTGATATTATATGAATAAGAAAGCAGTGCATGCGTCTTTGTATGGATCAAGTCTATACATTTCTTTTGTACTTGAAAAGTTTTGTACGAACCCCTTGCGGAGAACTATTGTTGTATTAATGTCACATTGTTGTCGGTCTGTCGGCTACTCATTTTTTGACTAAGAGTACTGCCCGTCTGTTTATTCATAGGGGTAATTGATCTGATCGTTAAGATGGAAACTGATTATCATTGTACATGTGAGGATTACTATACTTGATTTATCATAGGTTAGATAGGAACAATTTCATAGACCTCCACTAGCAATTTCTTCAGGAATTGCATTCTCTAGTTGAGCGTACTGTCGTATGGGTAGTGAAAGGTCACTTGTCACTGCAGCATGCCTCTATTTCCTCTAATACCAAATAATTAGACATTAGATGTGGGCGGATGTAGTTTGCATCATAAAAATGCATTCCTTTCACTTACTTAAAGGTAGGGTAGGTAAGAATGGAGAAACCAGCTCGAGTCCGCTAGAATTTGAAAGTAGCCTACACAACCGAAAAAAAATCTGCCCCTTCCTTCAGACTTCCTTATAGAGCCCCTCCTCCAACACACACGAACGCGCACATGACCAATGAGGGTACGAGATAAGTTTGTGCACAGATGGGAGGCTGACAGGCCATTAAGTTATTTTAGCCTGGCCGGCTCAGATGATTGGTCGCGCTTTTTACAGCACCACGGCTTCCACAGATGAAATGTTTGTATGTATTTATTGTCAAAGCATTTCATGTATTCATTGCTATCGGGATGTTAACAGCATGCCATGGAATATAAGAAAAAGCGTTTCTAAAGTGAATAACCTACCCCACCTTTAATGGTCAGTGATCGGTGTTTTATTTTGGAATTCAGCACCGAAAGTGACGTTTTTTTTCTTCTGAATTGACTCTGTGGATCAATCCAAGAGCGCTGCAAGGCACTACAGTCTGTGTGCATGCGGGGAGAGACGCATCTCTCTTCTCATCATTTTAGTTTTTCTTTTAAGTTTTTCATTAATGAACTCTGTTTTGCTGTGTTTATATCTGGATACGTATTACGAGTGTGATTGCCATGGAACACCAACATTTTACAGGGAAGGTTACACCGGGAGAGGTTTTACGCATCGCACATCTTGGGGCATCGAGAAGGAATGCAGTGTAGACGAATATAAAAATTGGACACTATAAGAGAAACTGCACTCGGCGTTTGGTTTGTACACAATGAGGTACGGATTGGTGGTTCTCGCTGCTGGATTTACAGCTTTTCTAAGCTTTAGCCTCCTCGCTGTGGCTATTGGGACTGATTACTGGTACATTATCGATGTGAATAAACCCAACTGCTCAGGTCCAGACGACATGAGTTCCCATTCTGGACTGTGGAGAATTAATGAAGGTATGTCAACTCCTTAAGCGTACGTGTAGTTTACAGTTTTTAAGAGCTTTTAGGGTTAGACTGTGTAAATCCTTATACTCAAGCAGGTTAATGTGTGAGCTGTAAAATCTGATTGTGCCCTAATTTTTCCAGAATAACTTTTGCGGTGCTTCTCATGAGGTCTTTTTGAGATACCTTTTATTATGTGGCATTGACACTGCTGTGCGTAAACCGCTTGTTCTCACAGTTGATGTCACTGTCAGTGTCTCTGCTGTTGACAAACAAAATAATAGAAATCAATAATATACTGTGGATTACATGTGATGCCACATTGTTCATGGATAGGTGTCTTTCTCATGTTGCTGGGTTACCATGTCAATTGTCAGCATCAGTTCACAGGATTTCTTATCCTGGATTTCTTCCTGATTAATCAGCTGTTAGTGTAAAAACAGTTTGCAGTGAATCCTAGTTGCGTGACACTAAGGGACAGAAGAGTTGACGTGCCAGTGCTTTTAGCTTGGAAAAATAAATAAGAAAAGACAGGCCACGAATTTGGTATGCCTTTTGCACTGCCAACCACCAAATCATACACAATGCTCATAACCAAATGAACACACACACACGCACACACACACACACACACACACACACAAACATGCGTGTGCTCATGCATTTCAGAATATATTCGTTGATTTCTGTCTTTTAGAAAAATGACTGTGAGATTTATTCAATCAGATTCAACGAACAATCACAAAATGAGTGAAAAACAGAGAAAATCACAGTGTGACCCTCCTGAATAACTGGCTCTAATCAACTTCATAGCGTGTTTATTCCAGCGACCCAGCTCAAATCTGTAGACGCCCCTACAGACAGCTGCAGACGAACATGCAGGAAACTTCAAATATATTTTACGGTAATTAGTTTGACACAGATTCAATATAATCTGCTTGTTGGCTGCACTGTTTGAGGTCCCAGATGTGTCCAATGTGTTGCTGGTGCCACCCGTAGTTCACACACTAAACGCCAGGTAATTAAACCAGTGAAATAACCCTGGAACAAGCACTGACACAATTGTTGTTATGGTATGCACTGGATTAGCTCACAAAAGCAGAAACTGCGAAGACGTGCCAAACTGTCACATATGCAGGGGGTGGGTAAATATGTGTCATACAGAGACATCTTTAATCTTTATTTGTATTTAAAAATCTAATGTTTTGAATTTTTAAATATGTTGATCATTATTTGTACAATTCTTGGATAAAGCTGGTGTTTGGTAGCAGTTCTTGCCAGACCTTTCTGTCCACATGTCTTGTTATGTGTAACCTTTTCCCTTGACTTTTTCAGGGGCGAACATGAGCTCCGTCATCCCTTCCTTCACAGCAAACATGTCCAGTCTGTCAGAAGCGGAAAGGCACCTTCTTGGTGAGTGGTTTTGTTTGTAAAATGGCAGTATATAATGAGTTTTTCCTGACAAAAGTTATTTATAGGGGACTGCTGAAGAAATGACATTTTCAAGCAGCAATAAGCTGTCGGAAAATCCAATCAACAAGAAATACCTTCAGCAAACACAAATATTCTTTTACAAATGATGAAGCATTTGGAAGTCCCTGTTTGCAACTTTGAAAATCAAATAGAGAAAGAAATTGTCCACAGTGACAGTAGCTATGTTAAGCAAGTCTCAAGACTATGTTTGTTGATTTTCATACTCAACTCCAAATTGCTCACCAAATGGTAGAAAATAATCAGAAAATTGTTTGAGTGAAATTGATTGCATGCACTCAGCAGTATATCTAGTAGACCTGGCGTTAAGGCACTTTTACAACAAAGACACAGTACAGTCTAAAAGTCTTAAAGGCACAGTAAAAGGTTATGTGTTGTACATGAATGGGTGTTTGCAGGCTTGCACAAGGTGGTGGTCATCATGTTGCCCCTCAGCCTGGTGCTGCTGGTGTTCGGCTGGATCTTTGGCCTCGTCAGTTCGTTGGCCTGCAGTCCCAACCTGCTGGCTGGGTCCGCCTCCTACTTTCTCTTCTGCAGTGAGTCCCCACAGATTTATTTTCTTCTCTGAGCCTGTGGCAATAACATGTATAGCTGTGTGTGGGGTGACTGACGGTTTTGTCAGTATGTAATATGTAAAGCATAAGATATTGTGTGGACAGTACAATGTGCACATCATTTGTGCATGTCTGTGTTAACCTTTAAAAAATTAAATTACAACTGATTGCTCTCTTGTTTTATTTGTTTGACTCAATCTCTTAAGGCATGGCCTAGGAAAAAAATGCCTCCATTTTTTTACAATTTAACCGTTTATTTGACAATGCACATTAATGAACACTTAAAACAATAACAAACCCAACAAATTATCAGGAATGGCCGTCAAACGTAAGGCTTTTCTGCATTAATTGTTAGTAAGCCTATTGCTATTACAATTCCAGAGTGAATGGAGATAAAATGAAGGAAAAAATAGATTTGTATACTCACTTCAATATCCCCATAACAACTATTTGATGGATGATGATATAACTGAATGGCTTCTACTTTTTAATACAACTGTAAATGTAAATGAGATGAAAACCGTTTTTGATACAATTGACAATACAATACAATGAATATGTGTTTTGGCCAAGTTTACCGTTTCCATGTTGACCGTTAAATGGCAGTTTTAAAACAGAACATGTTTATTTCCATAAAGCCATGTTACAAATAACACACATCTCCTAAGATATTGAAATAGTATAGGAAAAACAAAGGAAATGGATCAATATTTATGCATGACTGAAGTTTCATGCTATAAAGCCAGGCTGAATATAACAATATATGGCTTGATAGTGCGAGTGCCTTAATACAGCCACATTTATACCAAAATACTTCTTATAAGACAGTGTGGACAACATACAGTTAGTTTAACATATTCTGGAGGCTGAAGATCCCATGTTTTCAAAACAGTATAACGTGCATATCTCCTTTTTAAAAGTCTAGAAATCTTTGTAACCACACCGCAGAGTTGACCACGGTAAAGGGCAATGAGAAAACAATTATTAGTGTTGTGTCGATATTATATCTTGCAGTGGACTAGCGAAGTTTGCTATATGTTGAATCTGCAGCTTCTAATACATATTTCAGTGTGGAGCCGACATTTAAAATCCCAATGGAGTCAGGTAATGATCTTTCTGATCACACTGTTATATGAAGGGGGGAAATGGTGTTTTTATTGGGAAATAATGAGAAAGACAAGACAGATTCAAGACGTTGTATTCAATCTGTCAAAGGTGAATAGACGCAGGATGCAATTACGCTAGCAAAAACGACTGTGAGAGCTTAGACTCCCATTAGCTAAATCCCAGTTGTCATACCCTTTATCTAACACTAGAAAGGTGTGAATGAAAACCGTTGGTAGGCATGATCTACTGACAATGAATTCCTGGTATTATCTTGACAGATTTGCATAGTATAAAACATAATTGCAAGCATGTTCCTAATAACCCTGAACATGATTTCAGATGAAACCATCCAACATTCTCACTATGGACATGGACATTATTATTATTATAGATCGCAGCATGTGGATAGATTGCTGAACAAAATTGCAGAAGCGCTTGTTCTTGATTAAAAGATTCAGTCAGACTTTGCCCTTGGCTCATTAGGGCACATTATCCTGTCTCAGTGTCTCAGTCTGCTCCAAATTGTGTCCCTATAAAAAAAATATCACAACCTTTTTGTTAATCACATAAACATTCAATTAGAGATATTAAGCGCATCACACAAAGTATTGTTAATCACATAAACAGTCAATTCGAGATATTAAGCGCATCACACAAAGTATTGTCCCGTTAATCTCAAATCAGCAAAAATGTCTTACGTTTGGTCTCTACAGTCGGGAGACCCAATCTGCCCAACCGTTCCTTAAATGGCAGTCCAAGGTTATGCTTTCATCAGCAATACAGTAATAGAAACAGCGCTTTTTCTCCTTCACTTTAAAGGTATCAGCTGTTGAACCGTCATGATAAATAGAATATCCATCAAAGGAAGCATTTGATTAGGTCCAATCTCCAAGGGAATGAGTTTGAATCTCGATCCAGTTGAATGCATGAATCTGTCACAGAAGTAGATGATGGTATTATTTTATATACCTCGCCATCTCTGCTGACAGGCCGAGCCTTTGATAAGACTGCTTATTTAATCTTTTACCAAATGTCCTATCTACATCTGTACATCCAAGCACCTGCAAGCATCCACACGCTTCAACTTTAGCTGCCTTCGATCCATGGTTAAAAGAAAAAAGGGAAATGCAAAGCAAAATACTCCTAAAGTGTATTCATATTGGCTGGTCCAATGTTTAAAAACATCCACATTGGTGAGGTTTAAATTCAAAGTGTTAAGATTAGCCAGAACCAGACAAACAGATGTCTAACATACACACCAAGTATTATATTACATGCAATTTGATATATTTTTGTGTAGATCATCAAAAGAATATTACAACTAAGTGATTCTCATATAGGTTTTTGGAAAGAAGGCATCCTTCTCAGTGTGGAATAATGCAACAATCCCCCATGCATATCTCTCTTTAACTCTAGATTAGGTTCCTTCTGCAAAGGAATATAAAAAAAATTGCATTAAGAGAAGTAACCTACAGTATAGGATGTAGTCGTGGCTCACAACGCCCCAATGGTTTGTTCATTGTATTTGGTGGTTTTAAATTTATTTTCTTCTGGTGCTGTGCTTCAGAGAACTTTAAGTCTTGAGACCTGCTTTCGTCAGAAAAACATCTCTTACAATCTAGTCCAACAAGAGAGGTAATAGACGAGAAGTAATTCAGATTCATTAGAGTTTCATTAAATAACTTTCAACTTTGAACACTGATAAATCACTTATTTTCTACCTCATTTATTTTCATACATTGGATCAGAACAATATGGAAATCATATTGCGAAATCAGCGATAAAGCAGTATCAGTTGGTACCTCGATACTTGCAGTCTCACTCTTTTCCTCAATTGCTTGCTCCAGGACAAGCAGATCCAGCCCTCTCTCCCTGAGTCCTGTACTACGAAGCCGGATTTTCGTTTAGCGGGCTAACTTCAGGGAAAACTCTGGGTTTCCGGTCCTACGACGCTGGTTCTCTTTTTAGCGGGCTAGATCTCCATGGTAACTTATGCTGAGCGGCTAACCTTGTTCGGAGCAGGTNTACTGACAACCTTATTTTCAACTAGCGTGTTAAGATGTTGCTGGAGTAGTTATCGTTTCCCCTACTGACACCTTTTTGTTTTCGGTTTCGAAACAACGCTTTTATAGGATCCTGTGGCAGATGAGACAGGTCTAGCGTACACCTAATGTATTTTTCTTTTACTTGACGTAATAAGTCCACCGTTCACTGACGTAGTTTGTTTCCATGCTAGTTCACGAAAGGGGAACTATGACTCTATAAAAGGTGAAACTCCTCCTCCGCACGTTGTACGTGACAACCTAAAAATGTCACTATCGTTGGCTTTTCAGCTTCGATGATTGTCTTAGTCGACGATAGATTTGACCTACATACAGACCTGATCTACACTTTTTTCTTTACAGTCGTATACGTCGCCGTTTGCGGTCGCAATTGATACCTTTTGTGTTGTCACAAATAGTCTTTGACTTTGTCCGAGTTTTTCTGCACGAGCGACGTTTGACAAATCGGGTATAAAGACGTGTTACGTTGTTTCTATACGCTCCGTTCGTTGAACCGTATGAACTGTAACTTTTACAACACGAATTCACATATCGGTAAAATCGTAGAGTCGATCGTCTTGCCGCGTCACACTCCTTAAGACGCTCCAACACCTTCACCTCTTACGTTAGACGACGCCGTGCAACAGTGCGCTACCAACAGAGACGACGGTAGATAACTGTCTTAGGACTTCACACCTCTGGGGACCTGGTCAACGAAAAGTCTCAGAATCCACTCACTCGACATAATTTCCGTCTGTGTAACCGGGTAGGCTATAACCACGACCTCTTACGAAACCTCTCCTATAAACCATTGCCACATTAAAACAAGCTGGGACTCATACATATCTGTTGCTAAGTACTCACGTCTAAGACTAACTATCAAAATTCGACGATAACTTCGTGAGACTCCCGTTTAGTAAGTCGATTGGAGACACAAATCAATACTAACTGACTATCACTATGAACTCTATGACGTATACTACAGTCTAGAACATACAAGGTATCAATATGGTCAGGAGTCGTATTCCGGAGACACCAAAGTTGCCATACAGACATCCTAGAACTTTACACTAGACTATATCACCTTTGAAACATTCATCCTCTGTTCCATGTTCCTGTGTAAAACAATTCACGCTATACCGAGCAACTATGTTGTTTGAGTTCGTCGACAATATATGCGGAGAACTGCAGACCGATTTACTAGCTTACACCTTCACTACCTATAAAGATACAACACAGACATACGCTTTCGCGGAAATTCTTTATGCACAAGACACTTTCTCAATACCGCTAAAGATCGAAACTCGTCTTGCATCGAAGTATCATATGGTCAAACAAACTACTAACTAGTTTCGAACCGGAGTGTCTAGACAGCAAGTAAAAAAATACATTAGTGTACGACAGACACTTCTCGCGAATACTCATCTTCTATGCTCATGACTGGTGATGCTTGACGGAATGATAAACTTTACAAAGTTCTGCTGCGGAGATTTTGTCATCTTGAGGCGATGAAGCTTCACGGAAAAACGATAAAAGTGAAGAGGCACCTGCGCTTTGATCGTTGCTTTTGTGCTTATCTGTGTTAGCATGTCTGTCGACAGCACCTTTTCCTTTGCTACTTACGTCCACATCGCAACGACACAATGTCAAGGGGAAGTCGTCCTTCCGGCTTTTTGTGAGGAATCCATGCTCTTTCGACCATTAAGGATTAAATGAAGTCTTTCGTTTCTGCATTTCTGCGGTTCAACCTACCGCTAACTAGGCGGAGATGGCTCATGAGCTAGTCCTCAAGTGCTAACGTTACTCTGTCCAACGGTGCCGCCCCTGCCGTGA